TATATATATATATATATATATATATATATATATATATATATATATATATATATATATATATATATATATATATATATATATATATATATATATATGGTTAATAACATCCATCTTAGGAACAAGTGGTAACAAACTAACAATATTTGATCCTTGGTAAAACATGCATAAAGATTGAAACAATTAAAAACAAATGTGAATTTGTTTCGTATAAAATAATCGTAATTAAAAAAAAAAGGTGCAATATTAAGACATATGTAAAAGGGGTTTTACATAGCCGCTTGTGATAGTCATTGTGACCGGAGGAGAAACTTGTTGCAGTTTTCGACTCTCTTTGGATAGATTATTCCTGCAATTTAAAAGAGAAAATAATGAATAAAAAAATAATTAGTCGTTAATTTCAAGTTATCATTCGAATGTTGTACCTTACAATTCCTTTAATTAATCATATGTGATATGGACGAACTGGTAAGGACATATGCGATGACTTAGTCACTTAGTATGGTATTTTCTTCCTCAATTGCTAATGACTATATACGTTGGAATAGTCATCATTAGAGATGGATATATAAATATTTTTGAGTTTATAAGTCTGTATACTAGAAAAAGCAGTTTATTGGATTCTGATCAAAGCTACTAGGTTTTGCATGCCGAACTCGTAACTAGAACTCTAGTTCCCCTCTCGTAATCATAGCCTAAAGTACGTAACTAAGAAGACTAGATAATATAAAAAGGAAATCATGCTGAAGTTTAAAGACTTTTTTGGAGTTTGAGAAACACATGATCAGTATCTTGGTTTTTAATTTGTTCTTTTAATCTGAATACATAATTCACATATTTAAAAAGAAAAGAAATTAAGGAAGAGTTTCTGGTAATACCTTGAATGGTGCACCCGTGAACCATTGACAAGCAATAAAAATTGGAAAACAATAGCAAACCACCACAAAACTATTCTGTTTTGCTTTTTGAAATCCATCTTTTGCATGTCTTAACACTGCAACACAACAAATATCACAGTTAAAGAAAATCCACGAATATTATCATAAACCATGCATACAAAAATTACGTCAACATTAAATAAATGGATTTAAGTTAATATACAATAATGGTATAAGAATCTTTCATCAACTTACTGTAATAACACTAATTGCTATAACGCGTTATTGCACTATTTTTCAGGTTACATTATATGAAGCGTATGTATTATTGTAGGTCTACTTAATATGATGATGTAAAAGAATTATAAATTGTTTGTCAATATTTAGACTCTAAATAAAAATCACTGAATATTATATTACAAGATAACACAGAAAAATTGAGGAATAAAAAGAGTGAAAGAGAGATCAGCTGAGAGAAAAGGTTTATGTGAACCTTATTAATTGAGACACAGAAAACAATTCTCTTCTAAAATCAAAGTGGAAGAACTAGAAAATAATTAGTGAAAAGAGCATACACTTTCTGTGCGTATTTATATACACCGTTTGAATTTGTATTATATAATATGTAATAAATGGTTAACTACAGTACGGTCTCATTCCTTATTTAATTTCTTCAAATTTAGCTTTATGTAAGATGCAAAATTTATTGTTTTGTTTTCACAGTAAAATGGAAAGTAAAGTTGAAGTTTAGTTTCATTAGCTATTTAAGTATTTACAGCTGACCAGGGACATATTTTTGTCAAAGGTGGTTTGGTCGGTTGGCCAAATTTCAGTTATTTATGTTAAATTATTATCCTATAAATTGTACAATATACACATAAGGCAAGAAATTTGTAGAAGTAAGAGAAATTTAATTTTATATTTCTTTGAATATTAACATAATGAATATGGAAATTTTTGTTTAATAGATAAGGAAAGTCAATAAAAAGTCTACGTTCATAGAAAAGTAATATTTTACTACTCTTATTCAGAGGTTTCAAGTCCAAACTCTAAGGACGACACAAGCAAGTGTTTCTTTACATTGGTTTCTCTCTTACTGGTTAAAATTAAATGTCAACGTGCTTGAAACATAAAACTCAATGAAAAAGAAAAAAAAAGTTTTAAAGCTTAAGAAGATTAATATCATTTAAATCTTACCGGTTCAAGATTAGTAGACTAAGCTACCAAATATTTACAGGCACCTACACTTAAAGCATCGAAGAAATAGATACGATCAACTTTTCTTAAGCATTCAAATTCCATCAAGTCGAATATAATCATACATAATTCCTCTCCAAGGCATTTCACTTCTAGTTTGCTTAAGATGCATAACATTGGTTCCAAACACAAGAAGAGAACCAGGAACATTTATAGTATATAGTCTGTATAATCCATGAATTCCATGTCTAGCTATCGCGTTATCCACTTATCCTTGCCTATCAATCCTGTTGTATAGTGAGGAGCATCTGTATCTGGATCATTGAATTGAACCTAAATACAAAGGAATGTACATGTACTTAGTCGAAAATACAACAAATATACTTTGGAATTTATGAAGGGGAGCCCTGACGTAACTGGTAAGTTGCTTCCATGTGACCAGCGGGAGGTCAGGGGTTCGAGTCGTGGAAATAGACTCTTGCAGAAATACAAGATAATTAAGACTCCATATAGTAGACTCTTATTGTCCGGCCCTTCCCCGAATCTCACGCATAGCGGGAGTTTAGTACACCAGACTGCCCTTTTATAGTTGGGAAATTACAAGAAAAAGGATTGAGAAGATAATAGTCCATATATACTTGAAGTTCATCATCATTTGCTGAGGCTAATGCTAGTTGAAGTGTATAATTTGCTGATTGATCAACATCATCAGGATCAAATAGAACTTGCCAAGTAGTTGGAACATAAGTCTTGTTTCCATCATCACTGCATTAAAAAGGCCACAATCAAGACTTTAAATCAAAACAATATGCAATGTTCTATTCTCTTTTAGATATAAGTATATGGTCCATATTCTGTAGAAAGTATAACATAGAGGATGTTTGGTATGACGAAAGTCATTTTCGAGAAAGTTAGTTTCTGGTGCTTGGTACGAGGAAATATTTTCCCGGGAAACCATTTTTCATGAATAATGACTTCTATCGTACTCCAGACCCGTTAGTGGTAACACACGGGATATGCTATAGTAATGACTTCTATCATAGCACGAAATTTCACATATTATGCAAAGGGAAGTTCTAACGACAAAACAGGCTAAAGGGTGTAAAGATATTGTGAACATACTTGTAAATATATCGATTGACATGAGCAAAGAGTCAATCTGTTTGATAGTAGCTTGATCCAACAGTAAAAAACAAATCATCATCAGGGTATATCTCAGTGTACCTATCCCATAATCCATATTGCCTGAACCTGAAAAAACCAAGAAAATACATTCCTAATTATGCAAAATAAACCAACATAAAACTTGATAGAAAATAGCTATTTGAATGAAATTTAGCTCACCTTTCTACATTATTTACAACATATAATTGGTTCAGAAGTCTTGGTTGTGCATCAGGAATGAAGAATTCAGCAGCAGTCCTTTCAGGAATTCCTATTTCCCATAATGTTGGACCATTCCTTGGCGCATCATATACTAGAGTTTCTACTCTTGTTCTTGATCCTGTTTTATCCATAGCCATATTAGAGTAGTGAAAAATCATATTTTTCGCTCTATTTCAGATTAAATACTCCCTCTATTTTTAGTCTATCAAGCTTTCCATTTTTCCCTTAGTAAGTGCTATTTGTGAGCATCTAATTTTGGCTATATTTATATATTTCACCATTTTTTAGTATTTAAATAGTTTTAAGTTTAATTTTTATATTTTAGCTTTATTTCATTTTTAGTAGATTTATTTAATAAAATTTAAAACTACAAAAATAGTCACACTTCTTGTATTTTCTCTTAGGTCTAACTATTCTTGATCTTTCTACATTTTTTAAGCTAAGCATTTTATTAGTTTTAAAAGAAATGACAAACTAAAATGAAGAAAAAAATAAAATCAATTATTTTATGCCAACTTAGATAAAAAGTGGTAACAAATTTATTATTTTAAAAAAAGAATCCCTTAGGCCTTACCAGCACAATTTTGAACGCACATGCACACATTTACTTTATCCCTTTTCCCCGTCTTCCTCACATCACACACCCACTACTCATCCTTGGCCCACTCACAAATTATTACTTATAATTATTCTCTCACAATTCATACTCACACTCTTTCTCTTTAACAACTCACACCATCACTCTCTTTTACATATATAAAAACACTCTATCATACACGGAGGAAGGAGAACGCTACTGACTAAAAAGAAGAGCACACATTCTGAAAAAAAATAAAAATGCAGCAACATCAATCATAAACCCAGCTCCAAAACAGTCCATAAACCACCCTTAAACTAACCTGAGAGCACCGAAAGAGGTCCTTTGTGAGTCTGGGTTCGAAAGCTTTTATTTGAGGTTGCCGTTCGATTTTTGGTCTTGTGGTTGAGGTCCTGGTTTTTGATTTGTTGTTCAGTCCGTTCAATCAAAGAGCCTTTAAAATTTGAGTTTTGAGGTCCGCAATTCCTACCTTGTCTCTGATTAATGCACTTTTAGTATTCTACATGCTTTGAATAAAATAATATTCTTAATTCTCATGATAACATTTTCAACTTCTGAGCTTACATCACCATGTATCTTCCTTTAGCATATTTTAAATGGTGATTTGTCCTGTTTTTCATTCTGTCTTAATTTTCTTTCTTGTTCATTTGTTTAGTCTTACTTTATACTTCATGTTTTATTAGTATCATGAATCTGGATCAAGATTGGGTCATCGTGCAGCTAAGATTATTGTAAATAAATGGGTCATATCTGCTAATTGGGATTAAAAACAGAATTTGGGCCTAATGAAGTAACCTTGGATAATGTGGATTGGGCTTTAAGAATTAATGTAGTCACTACATCTTTAAGCGGTGGTTTGTAAAAGTTTTGAAGTGAACCAATTAAGCTTTAGTAAAGTTAGGTATACTTATACCTGTTAATCGGGCCGGGCTGACCCGTTTACAACCCGGTTCAGCTCGGGTCAGCCCGGTACTGTAGCGTGGAGGGCGGGAAGCGGGTTTCAAACGAACAGTTTTTTGATCCCGGTGCACCGGAACCCGCTAAGCCCGTTAACGGGTTGTTAACGGGCTACAGCCCGATTTAGCCCGATTTTTAACTTTTTTTTTATTTTTTTTAAAAATACTTTTTTTTTTTACCGTTGCCAACCGTCAAATTCAAATATGACCGTTGGCCAACGGCCTTTGTTTGCAGAAATGGCCATTTCGGCCTACCCTCTTAAGAAAATAGCCCCCACACCCCTAGTATTTGATAAATTATAATTTTAACCTTTTAAAAACTATAAATAGCCCCCTTTCTTCTTCATTTTTCCTCACAATTCACTCTCTTACTACTCTTATTCTCTCTTGATATTATTGATTATTGTTCTTAAATTCTCAATTACTTATTATTTCAAGTTTCATCAAATATTTAGTTTAGCTATTACAAAATTATTATTATCAAATATCAAGTATTCAAGTGAAGTGTGGTATCAACTATCAAGTATCGATCTATCAATTGAAGTTTGGTTTTTGATATCAAATTTAGTGCGGCATCCGAAATTCCGGTACACTTGTTCTATATCTTTCTCTTCTTTGGTATACATTTATTTTATTATTTAAAATTATTAATTTAATTTACATAATGGATATATTTAGAGCAGC